TTCATTTAAGCATGCATAAACAAATATCAATTTTTTAGAGGTTAAGAAAATATATTTTATCAGAAATTTTATCAAGGAAGGAAATTTTATTTATTCAATAAAAAGTTTATTATAAATGAAGTGAAACAATATAAATTATACAATATATTCTAATAAAAGCAATGATCTTTATTCCATAATTAAATTAACTCAATAATGTTAAAATCGTAAAAACTGTTAGTGTAAACATAATGTGTGGTGTTGACACACTTTTGGTTCAATTGTTTTCTATTTTTCAACACAAAATATCATATCATAAAAGATAATTAAAACAATAAAATTTAATTTTAACCCATAAATAATTATCTAAGGACTATAAACCATATATTTTCTAGTAAATTCAAATCATAAAATCACTATATTTTAACTATGAAATTACGTATGATATGTTTTTCTGTTTTAAGAAAATTATAGACCACTCAAATCTTGTATGTGAAATTGATATAGAGGTGAAGTGAGTATCTTATCTATCATTATAAGTTACGTTGTAAGTGAAGAGAAACTTTTATTAGTTTTAAGTTTAGTAGTCAATATAATTTTTGAAGGAATATTGTATTTATTTTATATTAAATAAAGTTATTACAATAATAATTAGATCAAAATGTTATTACTAAATGTTAAAAGTTCTCATTTTTAATTTGTTTTAATTTGTTTTAATTTATTTTAATTTTTCTATGAAAGTGATTTAATTTCCTTTTTATTCAATTGACTGATTTTTAAGCTTAATTGGAATCTGAGCAAAATATTATAGTGAAAATTTTACTGAACATTTTGTTAGTTAAAAAAGAAAATTTTCTTTTTTCCATTAATAATTTTATTTTATGCAATATTATATTTATGTTTCACCAATTTTATTATGTAACATAATTTATGTTATTATATCATAAATTAGTTGAAGGAAACTTTGAGTCAATGCTCTCAATGACATGTCTACTGAGGTATTTAAAAAATGTCCAGTCCGCATGCCACATGTCATAATTCTAGAACTCCAACTCTCCTTTTTTATATACTAGTACTAGTACTAGTATTTAACCCGTGCAACGCACGGGGTCGAACGCATGTAATTTTTAACTCTCCTAATTTTTTGTTTTAAGTAAATAATTATAAAATAAAATTAATATAATATAGAATTTTAGATACGACATAAACAGAGTATGCTAACTAAGGGGCTGTTTGTTTCAGCCTCTTAATGGTTCAGATGTCTGAATGATTCAGCACTTAATGGTTCAGACTCTTTGTTTCAGCCTCTTAATGGTTCAGATGCCTCTGAATGGTTAAGTATTATACAGAGTCTGAATGGTTAAGAGCTGTTATCTGAATTGATCAGACATTTGCCTCTGAATATTTAAGCAATATACTAGCTCTTAATGGTTCAGACCTCTTACTGGTTCAGCACTTAATGATTCAGACCTCTTACTGGTTCAGCACTTACCCATTCAGAAGTTGCCAAACAGCCCCTAAGATTCATGTATATAAAAATTGAAAAGAATGTACAAATGTATAAATTAAATCCAAATTTTTTGAAAAACTTTAGGGTAAACCACATTTTTGGTACAATTGCAAGGGTTACTATTGTCATCTAAAACTAATATTTTCAATCCTCTCTTAGTTTTCACTCGTGAAACTGTAACATAAAGTTGACCGTGAGTGAATACCGATTTGGTCAAGAATAATCCAACAAATGATAATGTTTGGAAATTGTCTTCTTTGAAACTTAAACGATAATCCAGGATCTGGCGGTACCAAATTCATTTTGGGCATGTAAACTTTCTCACCTACATTGTTTCCTGATACAACAATTGCACCGATAACATTTTTTCGAGACTCTTAAACTGTTAACCTTGTACCATTACATAAGCCAGATGTTTGATTAATGTTTCTTAATAACATAATTGGTACTCCTTTGTTTAAAACAATTCTGTGGTTTGGAATCTCAGAACACTTAATATCGTTCAAGAACTCAATCATTATCCAATCACCATCTATGTCTATATCTGAATCTGCTTGACAAGAAGAATCAGAGCTCAAGTACTCCTTTTCATCTCCTAGAATAAGGGACCAAATAAAATCATTGATCATTTCAACAACTTCAAGCCTGTGTGCTAATAAAGCTCTATCCATAAAAATGTAATCTTTCACATTTTCCAATAAGTCTGGATACGTGAATTCTACTATATTCTGAAGTGGAGAACTTGAGTTTAAGATCAAGGATTCAAGTGGAATTTCAATTTCACTAATTCCATCATTAACCACACCAAGTTGTCCATCTCCAATCTTGATTATCCACTCAGAAAAAAGTTGTGTGTCACTGTCTGCGTGGCTGGATGAAGATAAATGCAATCTCATATTCTTAGTCAATGTAAATACTTTACAATATGACCACAAACTCGATGAATTCACAGTAGCTTCCACAATTTCTTCTCTTGAAGCTCTAATACAAAAAGTTAATTAGAATATTTTAATTAGTTATATTATTATTTAGTAGTTAATTATTATTTATCAGTATTTTATAGATTAGGGTTTTTGTATGGGCCCGAGCCCATTAGGTCATGTAGGTGCGGCGTCTCATCTCTATATATTGTAATCCCGTTTTATTATCATTCAATCAATCAATAATCAAGAATTCTCTTAATCTCTTGTCTCTCTTTTCTTGGAGCCCAGAAACGCTCGAAATTTTCCTTCTCTCTTTGCCTCCCCTTTCTTGGAGCCCGAAGACGCTTGAAGTTCTTCTTTATCCGATACAATATTCGTATCAATTGGTGCTCTCATTGAGAGAATTCCAAAAAAAGTACAACAACAAAAAAAACTGCCGCAGATTCCATCTGATTTTTGTGATTAGCAAAAGAGCAATAATTGTGCCGCTACTTTTTGCTTGGAACACCTAGAAGAGTTGCAGAAATTCATCACTGCGATCCAAAGTCATTGAAAAAAGAAGAAGAAAAAGAGCCGCAAGATCAAGGAGCCGTAAGATCAGAGGAAATAAAAATTGAAGCTGGTGAAATTTGATCTTTACATCCAAATTGGTGCAGCTTCCAATTCCTTTGCCAATGGGGCCGCCACTCAATTAGAGAGAGCAATTGGAGAGATCCACTATAATTTGTTTCTGGCAGCCCGCCTCGGATCAATTTGCACCACACTCCAAGAAAAAAAATGCAACCCGATTTTTCTTTCCGAATGGAGGCTCTGTTAGACAAGGCGTGCAACTCTAGAGGGGGGTGAATAGAGTTGTTGATAATGATTACCGATTTTTGCAGGATTAATAATATAATTGTAAGTGCAGCGGAAATAAAAGAGAGAAGGCAAAGAACACACCGATGTATACTGGTTCCCCACCTCGTGGCTAGTCCAGTTCCCCGAGAGACTCTCTCGAAGCTACCACTACTTCCGTTAAGCTTACGGGTGCTTAACAAACCGTTTACAACTCGAGAACTTGAATCCCACAAGCCTCGACACAACCTCTCGTAGATATGCCCTCTACAAGACTTCACAACCAAGACTTAAGTCATATAAGTCTTGAACAACAAGAAGAAAAATCTTCTTCAACCTCTCAACAATAGCTCTCAAAAGAGTAGAAATGAGAAATGATTAAAGCTCTATGGATGACAAGAACACTCTCTTGAAAACACTTAGTTTTCTCTCAAAATATATCAATTTGAGGAAGAAATGAATGGAGGATTATAATCTCAAGATTGGGGGAGTTTAGGAGTGCTTGATCATACTAAAAATGACCAAGGAGTGAGGTTTATAAAGGGGTTGAAGGAATAAATCCGTTGGTTCAAGAAAAGAAGCTGGGATGAAAAATGCAGCATAATAATCGATTAATGCAGTGACAATAATCGATTAATGCAGTCTGCGCAGAGTTCCTTCTACGCGGAAATAATCGATTAATGCAAAGGGATTAATCGATTAGAATGCTCTGTGTGAACTAATCGATTAAAGGCAGGAGGAAAATCGATTAGACCAAGTACCAGAACAATCCTTCGCAAGGCAAAACTAGATTAATCGATTAATCAAGAGAAATTAATCGATTAACTGAGTAAAATCGATTAAGGTGAGAAACTTAATCGATTAGATGCGAAATGATTCACAAACACAAAGGGCCCAAGCCAGTTGCGATTGAAAGCAAATTGGATGAATACTCGTTGTTTGAGACAACGGGAATCAGGCAGCAACGCTCCTAAAAAAATCTCCTATTCAATGAATTTGAATAAGGGAGTAAAAGTGAGTCCAAAAATTATTTTGTGTGTCAAACGATGTACACGAAAAATATTTGAATAAAATATTTTTGCTTACCAAAAATATTTTATAATATCAAAATAAATATTTGATAAATGTTTGACACACTTTTTGTAATTGACTCAATAAAACTATTTTGAACAGTTAAAAAGATTTTTCAACTGACTCCAAAAATAAATATAATTTTTATTTTGACTCTCATAAAAATAATTTTGGAGAGAAGATATTTTTGTCATCCTTACAATAATTCCTAAGACTCAAATAAATAAAAAGTCTTCGGAAATCTTCTACTCCTCCGAGTCCTCCGTTAGGCGCTCCAAATGCGTCTCGGACTTCAACAAAATTCTGTGCACCTTCTTGAGTAATTCAAGGAATGGCACTTCAAGTTTTCGTGATTGTCGTTATAGCACTTTAATCTTGACTTGAATAAATTGTGTTTGTCAATTATCAAAACCTGTGAGTCAACACTAAACAACACAGAAAGGGTTGAACTCATGCATTCCAACAGGCTCAATTCAAGCGGTTAGAGATTTTGATCGTGTGTACCCATGCATTGGACAAACTTATTGCTCTATTAGAGAATGTTCTTTATGGCAAAATTGAGCACGACGACGGAGTGTGCACACTTTAAGGGTTGAACTCATGCATTCCAACAGGCTCAATTCAAGCGGTTAGAGATTTCAATCCTTCCGCTCTATTGGAGGTAAGCAAAATTATGATTCTGACTTACACGCATTTGACATTGAAATTTCTTGCGTGATACAGAATTTGGTCCATGGGCCCCCAATTTTGCCGAGTTTGATTCCTTGGGAGTTACAACACTTTAGAACAAACATGTTGGGCGCTATGAAAATTCTCATTGACACTCCGCCATATATGCCAAATGTGGTCTCTACAGTAATTGAGCAAAACGACCACGCATCCAAGGAGGGATCAAGCGTTGACTCACAAGTTGGAGATGAAGTGGACATCGGACTCGAAGCAATAAACAAAGATGACAGGAGGTTCAACGTTGTGGACAAAAATGAAGGTTCTCTTGCAGAAGATGTCCACAGCCATATCCTACTTTTCAGGAATTTTCTACCTCAGCTGGTGTGGTCATTGCAGAATATGATATTCCAAAAAGTGTTGACAAAGTGACAGATGCAAATGGTAAACAAGAACACTCACCTATGTTGATTGCCACCATCAAGTTGTTTGAGCTTGTCGATGTGGTCAAGATGGAGCACCTGATTTCACCGAGAGCAACTGCATATGTTCTGCGCTCCGTCTCATCTTTCCATCACTTTGCTCCAAGATCCAAGATGGTGGAAGATTCAAAGAGTGGATTGCTCCTTTGGTTCAGCATTCTTTCTCCAGTCCTAAAGCATGAGTGGGAGCCTCCACCTTGAGGACAAGGTGGATTTTAAGGGGGTTGGAATGATACAAATAGTTAATTAGAATATTTTAATTAGTTATATTATTATTTAGTAGTTAATTATTATTTATGAGTATTTTATAGATTAGGGTTTTTGTATGGGCCCGAGCCCATTAGGTCATGTAGGTGTGGCGTCTCATCTCTATATATTGTAATCCCGTTTTATTATCATTCAATCAATCAATAATCAAGAATTCTCTTAATCTCTTGTCTCTCTTTTCTTGGAGCCCGAAAACGCTCGAAGTTTTCCTTCTCTCTTTGCCTCCCCTTTCTTGGAGCACGAAGACGCTCGAAATTCTTCTCTATCCAATACGATATTCGTATCAAGCTCTTGGTATAACTAGAAGTATTTGACGAAATTCACCCCCAAGCACAACCGCTTTTCCACCGAAAGGTTCATTTGCAACATTTTTATTAAAGAACCGCATAATATCTCTCAAGGTGCGATCTAAGGCCTCAAAAGCAAATCTATTCATCATACACGCTTCATCCTATATTATAAGACTTGCTTGTTGAATTAAATCTGCTTTTGGGCTTCCTTGTTTGATCACACATGTTGAACATTTAGTTAGCGCTAAAGGGATCGAGAATCTTGAATGCGCTGTCCTACCACTCGGTAATAGCAAAGCTGCAATTCCATTGAACGCAACATTTAAAACAATCTTACCATTTAATCTAAGCGCAGCAGATAATGATTTCTAAAGAAAGGTTTTTCTAGTTCCCCCATAACATTAAACAAAGTAAAAGTCTCCTCTCGTAGCTTCCACAACTTCTATTATCTCATCGTATATTTTTTTCCGATCGTCATTCATTGTTGATAAATATTCTTTGAGATTAGTGGACAACTTTTTTTTGTCATAGTTCATTATTGTAAAATATTATCGGATAAATATTCTTTGAGATAAGTGGACTACCCCATGTCTAGCATTCTGCCTATCTACAACAACCTAGGCATATTCGGTTTGATCAATTCAGTCATGTGCCCTAATTGTGCCACTAATAATGGGGAATGAAGATGCTCATGTACTACTCCACTGCAAGGTGGCTAGAACTGTCTCGCTTCACTATGAACTCCTTCTAAATGGACTTAGGCTGAGACCTAATCTCAACATCACTCAACACCTCATTGAATGGTGGAGCTTTCACTCCAAGAAGAAATTAAAGGGATTTCTCAGGTTAATATTACCAAGCTGGATACTTTGGAGTACTTGACAAGGGCACTATGGGACAGGCTCTACTTTTATTTTGTCTTTCTTCTATATATTTTTGACTCTCTTATTTACTACCCTCAAGGCTTGGGGTTATAAGTTGTTTTGACAAAACATGGCTTCTAAAACATCATTTGGCTTAAAACTTGACAACTCTTAACTCCCGATAAACCATCAAGTTGGTTATAAAACACCAACCAAAAGTTGTACTCCCCTTAGATTTTTCCCACACAACAGTTGGCTTATAAACCATAAATTAGTTGTTGTTTTACAACATGTTTGTACTCTTTTTAGTCTGTAGCATTTATTCTAACATAATGTTTGTTTAAAACATGACAACTTATAACTCCTAATGCCTACAAACATATGTTAGACTGGTTTTTTCACCTACAAAAGTTGGAGTATAAACCATGTGCTACAAAAGTTGGCTTATAAACCATCATTTGGCTCAAAACTTGACAACTCCTAACTCCTCATAAAGCATCAAGCTGGGTGTAAAACAGCAAGAAGTCTACAATATGATACACACCAATAAAAATATTGTCTAAATATATCACACAGAATTATTATAATTTGGACATATCCAACAGAAATATTATATAACCAATATGATACACACCAATAAAAATATAGTCTATAAAATTTAATCTGGACATATCCCACAGAATTATTATATCACCAATATGATACACACGAATAAAAATATAGTCTAATTTTTACCAATGGAAAACAATAACGTATATACACATAATAAGAATCATATGCAACACTAAAAGTTATTCTTTGACTTACATGTTCGTCCATGAACACCATCTCGATAAAATTTGTCGTCGCAACATCACTATATACAGGTAAAGTATATAGTCTAATCACACGAACCATGATTCTTCAACACTCACTTGTTGGATTGATTTTTGATAAAGGATGGATAGTCATCTCAGTGAAAAAATGACTTATGGAGGAATATTAAAAATTCAAGGGGGAAAAAAACAAGGGTGCTGTGGGTTTCTTCAATTAAGAAAGATTATTTATAGCAAATGTAGGAATGATGATTAGAAGTATTTTACATATATGAACCGTGAAGAATGAAGCGTAAACAACTACTTTATATATATGTGAAGGGAAAATTTTGGAAGGAAAAGAATTTGAAATTGAAATTTGTATTAAAAAAAAGTAATCCTTAAAAAAACCAAGACTTTCGAAACAAACATAATTTTCAAATTAAAAAGAAAATTGGAAATAAACATATTCTTAGGACGTAATCTGGAAAGGAAACGTAATCTGAATCGCGGACTTTGCTCGACTATACATAAATTCCAAAAAAAATACGAAACATACCTAATTTGCAGACTTTCCTTCGCGGAGATGGAAGACGAATCCTTCAGATGACCTACGTCGGCGATAGATTCGGGATGAGGATGTAAGTTTCTAATTTAGCTCTGGTAAATCCTTGAAGAAATTTAAGAAATCGCGGATTTCACGCGTTGGAGGAGGACAGGCGAGAGAAATTAGACTATAAGACACGTGGATGGCTGATGTGGCATTCAATTAAACCATCCTGAAGTGACACATGTCATCATTTTACTTAATCAACTCTCAAATTTTATATTAAAGGATAAAGATTTTAGTTGATTACTCCGTATATCATAAAATAAAATGATCTTCTCACTTTGTTTTGTAGAATATTATATATATATATATATATATATATATATATATATATATATATATATATACCTGATTCAACTTATATATATATAAGTTGAATCAAAATCGTCATCTAATGTTTCTGCTACAATCCTTAAATCAATGGTCCAATGTTAATGCGAACAAAAATGGATAAATCCAAGCCATAGAAAATGATCAACGACCCAATTTCAGTTTGTGGAAATTAGATAAATTTAAGCCCTTGAAAACTTCATCCCAAACCCTAAAAAAACATGACCAACACACGACTCCCCCAAACCCACAACTTCTGCAATCAACTTCCGGAATATTAGGCACGAAAAAAATCTGCCTAAACCTCTCTAAAGAAATTATCGATCTATCCCACTTCCTACATTCACGAAATCTTTTACTCCGTCCGTCTATTTTTAATGTTCGTACTTTTTTTTCAATCCGTCCACAAATAATGTTCGCATTTCCTTTTTTGGTAATTTTTTCATGTCAAAAGACCTTTTTACCCTTACTTTCTATCCTTTCTTTTTCTTCTTTCCTCCACTTGAGTCCACCACCACCCCCACCCAATCTTTTTCCATATTTTTTCTTTTTTCATCTCTCTTTCTTTTCTTTGTTCTTTCCTCTGTTTCTCCTCTCTGTTCTTGAGTCCACCGCCACCCCCACTGATCCATCTTTTTCTTCTTCTTCTTCTTCTCCCCTTCGCTTCTCCTCTCTTTTTCTCTTTCTTTCTTGCTTTCATTTTCTTTTACTTTTCCACAATCACTTCTCTGTCCACATTTCTTCTTGTTCTCTTTCTTCTTCTTCTTGTTCTTCTTCTTCTTTGGATATTTCGTCTTCTTCTTCTTCTTCTTCGGATTCTTCATTTTCTTCTTCGGATTTGGTCCAGATTTTAGAAATCTAATTCAGATCTGGATTTTAGAACCGACAAATGATCTTCTTCAAGTCGTCTTCATATTTTTTCATTTTCTTCCAACCTTCTTTGTGACGGATCGCCGGAATCTCTTTGATTTTGGAATGATAGGGTTCGCGGAGGGGCTATGCTTGCGATTGAAGATGTCAGACATTAAGGGAGTGGGTGACAGTATGCTGGTGCAGGGAAAGTGGGGAGGGCATAATTGGAAAGTCAGTGTAAAATTTAACTTTTCTTAATCTCTGTCCCGGGTCAAACTACGAACATTAAAAATGGACGGAGGGAGTATATATATTTCATTAAGGTCGGATATTTTATTCTCAATATAATCATCACTTCTCCTGGTAATATTTGGATCCCTCTCAACAGGCTCCACCCTGCTTGGCTTCGGGATGTCGTGAAACTCAGGCTACTGCGTCATAATGATCTCAAGACAATAAAGAGTACGCAGAACACAATCTATGGGCACGAAGTCATTTTCCAAGATGACCAGGTTTACATTAATAAATATTAAATTTATTGGGTTTGTTATTTCGCCTCTAAATTTAATGCTTGCAATTGTTAATTTCATTCAAAAAAGTAGGGAAATCGTATACATGTATTATGCAAAAAGCCTTTAATACCGCGCTTTAAGCCTTTGCTGAAAGAGGGACTAATACATGGAATACAGAATCTCATTGTCTCAAAGAATACTCAAAACCACGGCTAGGTAAAAGCCACGGCTAGCCAAGTTCATGTGGTTTTATGTGGTTTTCGCCAAAAGACTAAAACCAAAAGGTGGTTTTTAACATTTTTTGTTGGAGAACTATTTAAAAGCGCCTAAAAATTCTTGAAAAGCACTTGGTTGATTTGGACACCAAAAACCCAATGCCAATAACCAGTAGCCGAACGCTGGTCTTAATTACCCGAACGGGATTTTTGAAAGACAAATGCCGAACAACTTGGTTTTCGGTTTGAGTGACCTCTAAGTGTTTTTGGCTTATTAAAAACTTATGAAAATGATTTTGATGATGCATGAAAATGATTTTAATGAAATTATCCTAGAGAGCCAAGTTATGAAGTCAAGGTCGGTCTTGATCACAATTTACCCTGACTCTATTATTCTAAGTCCTAGTCTTCGTTCTTGGTTCTCATTCCACTTGATTCTTGGATTGCATTACTAATAAATATCCTCACCTTGTGTGTTTAAAGTCTTCTAATATTCACGGTGGTTTGGAATTATCAAAACATGTCACACACGAACACAACTTTAGTATGACATAGGCGTAAACACGTGTTCCAACATTTTCTGCACAAATATAAAACACAGCACAAAAAGGTTTCATTTGATTTTTAAACTGATTATTTTAAATTAAAAAAATTGAACTCAGTTCTTAAGAACTAGTTTTGAAGTCATTTTTGTTTAAATCAATTTTCCACTTTTGCTTTTAGAAATTCCTCTTCGTACAAAATCAAAGAAAGCTGAAAAAACAAACAAATAGGGAGTATAGTGGGGACTAAATTATTTCTTATACTCTACTTGAGGAAGGATTGGGCACTAGTTTTGATCATGTTTTCCTCTTTGTTTTTTTCTGTTCTCTCAAGCTTGCTAAAACCTCTTCTTAAAATGGTCATTTTATCCCTTAAAATCAGTCTTTAGAATATTTTCCATTTGAACTTGACCCTTTTCTAGTTTGTAAATAGGATTTCTCTTTCAGTTTTCCTTGAAACTAAATGAGCCACTTAGAAAATATCTTTTAAGTCCAGGCATAAATAGTACGATATCTTATCCCTTAAGCATTGATCTAATAGGAAATGATTTGTGAATGGAGGAAGACCTAATTGGAAGAGAAAACGACATTTTTAGCCGTATAAATCTCAAAAGTTTTAAGTGGTTTCAAATAAAACTCAATCTTTTCTTTCTTGAAGGAGGTCCAAGGGGTATCTTCACCATAACTCGCTACGTAATGCTCTATTCCGTAGGTCAGATTTGATTAAATCTGATTTGAATTTTGGAAGTTCTGATCTGATCTGATTGGATCTCGTCTGATTGGATATAATCTGATTTGATGAAACCTAATTTAATCTGATTAAATATAATCACATCTGATTGGATCTAATCATGTGTAAATGAATTTAAATTTGATTAAAAGTAAACTTATAATTATTACAATAAATTTAATATTTTTAAATTATTACAATCCATATATATATATATATATATATATATATACATACATATACACACACACACATAGACATAGAAAAAAGTAAAATAAAAAATCATTGACACTAACAAATTATGAATATACTACAAAAATTTCTTTGAAATATAAAATATCTTTCAAATATAACTATTAGTTAGTCTCTATTAAAATGCAATAATCAGTTTCTCTTTATATAGTGAAGAGAAGGTATTATTACTCGGTATAAAAATAACCAAATATTAGAAAATAAGAATGTTATTCTACAAAACTATTACAATATTTATGCATTTTACATAGTAATTTTGCATGTTACAAATTACAAATCACATAAAATCTTAAACACTAATATTCTCTTCACCTCTTCGAATTGAATCCCAAATTTCTTTTGCTATATGATGTTGCACTGTATTCATTTGGGTCTTGCATTCTAAGCCGAACAAGGTAGTATCACTTCGTGGTTCAATATCAACTCCACCTAATATTAGAATACCTAACTTGTGAAGTCGAATAAAATTATGAGCCATAAGGTTGGTACCATAATAGCCAACTGATATTCAATTTCCATTGCAGGCATATTTTTCAAAATCATCCATCGTTTTTTAAATAATACAGAGTAATAATAGTAATTATAATAATAAATAATAATACTAAACATATTTAAATTTATAATATTAATTAATATTTAGGTGTGTGTAGTTTTAAATAAAGTAATGTTATTTAATTAAATAGCATTTATTATTTAATTCTTAAAAAAATATTTATATTATTTTTTGTCTTAATCTAATCTGATTGGATCTAATCTGATTTGATTGAATTTGATCTGATTTGACTTGATCCGATCTAATGTGATTAGATATGCTTTGATCAAATTTTAATAAGAATAAGTAATAAACAAAAAAATAAGTCCTACGGAACGGACCCTAAGAAGGAAAAGGTTGTAGTTCTAAGAAAGATGAGAAAGGAGACCTTACCAGTTACGATAATTAGGTTTGTGGAAAGGAAATCTTCTAGATAGTGAGAAAAGGGAAATTTGAAAGAAGACGGTTACTTAGATTGAAGGATATTTTTATTTATGTCTTTTTGGCAGTGTTAAAACTTATCAAATCCTTAGGGGTAGATATAAGAAGCAAGGGAGTTTTGGCTAGAATTTATATTTGCGTGTTTTTTTAGTTTCAATGATTACTTTGTCCAAGGATGGCCAAAAGCTAAGTGTGGGGAATATGTTCAAACCCAAAAGGCTGGATTTTATTATAGTTCAAAGTGTTGATTTTAAATACTTTTTTGTACATTAAATACTTGTTTATAAATGAAATTGATAAATCTAGCTAAGTTTTTAGACTTTAAATATTTTTCTACACGTAAAATATCTGTTTTTAGTTTTAACAGATAAAAGAAATACATTTAGGTAGAATTATGAATGAGTTGGATAGACACTATGTAAAAATGGATTGAGATTGGGTTTAATACTTTCGGGTTGGGTCCAAAAGCTCAACCCATTTAACCAGCCCGGTCTCATTTTCAATTAATCCAGCACCACCCTCTTCACCGTCTCATTATTCCGGATCCAACACACACACAAGGGTTTTAGAGAGAGAGAAACCCTAGGGTTCGCCAGTGACAAATCTCTTCATTGCCGACTTTTTCCGGCAAGTGAGGGAGGTGAATGAGAGATTTAGAGAGAGCTTGATGTGCGCTTCCCTTGAATCCCTATCTCACCATCATCAAAGGTTTTCTCCACACCTCAGTGGAGTAGATCTTCTAGGTACTATGTTGTTCCCTTGAGTTTTATAATCCGACCATCATTTTCCTTTGTTTTCTGAGTTTTTATTACATGTTGTTTGTTGTGATTCTGTTAAACTGAGATTTTGTAGTGTTAAATCTAAGATTCACATGAGTACCTTAGGTTTTTGAACTTGATCTGTTATCTTAACTTGATTTAGTCATACTTGGTGGAGTTTGATCTTAAAAACTTGAGTGAGAATGATAGTTCCTTTTCTTAATCTAATTTTTTTTGAGTTCTAAGCTAACACTGAGTGAGGAAATCTTTTTTACCTTGGTTTTGGGAGTGAATTTATGATCTGACTCTATTTTGAAGCTTAAAACGTGCTAAATGGGTAGTGTAAACCTCTTACAACCAAATGGGTAGTGTAAACCTTATTTCCCTTGATAAATTATCTTCATGAGGGTACATTAGCTGAGGGAAGCAGACCTGGTACCAAATAGGAGGATCAAATCTCATGTCCCTGGTTTCTATTTATTGGCCTTTACCAGATAGTCATCATATGACCTAGTTGGTTAGGTTAGAGTGATTCCTTGGATAGAGTTGCCTATATTTTAATGCTTTCATTAAGTTTTGATGCTTAAGATTGTTAGGTGTTTACCTGAATGGAAAGTTCTAGGTGAAGGGTTGGTCTTAAGTCTAGATAACCTGAAAAGATAACTAGGTGGTTAGTACCATCTACTCAAGCTGCATTTAGGTTCACTTGATCTTTGCTAATGATTTACTAGTTGATTTCATATGTTTGCTTACCACAAAACAGAGGTACCTTTTCAAACATAGGAAATACACACTCTTGTCTTTCTACTTGTTATTACTTTTTGCTTGTTAGTTATTTAATCACCTTTAATACCAAACTCTTTTCCACCACCACCACCCCCCTGTGTGAGTTGATGTGTAGGTAATTGTTTTACTTTTCTGACCTTTGAAACTATTTCTTTGAGATAATTGAGTTAACCACTTTGTTGGGTGGCATCCCCAAACGAGTGATCCTCTAGTTTGGTTTGCGGATCTCGTACGTACGGTTGAAACACGGGTTTATCACGTTTTCATACTAAAGGCGTGTTCGTTGTTATGACAGGTTTTGATAATGCCAAACCGCCGTGAACGAGACAAGTCATTGAATATACAAGGCGAGAACCAAAGATGAGAAGAAAGAGAACAAAGGCCAAAAGAAGACCAAGAACGAAGACCGTAGTCTTAGTGTCGTTGAGTCGGTCACAATTGTGATCAAGACCGACCCAATCTTTACACCTTGGCTCTTTAGGCTAAAATTCTTTTCATTGCATTTCAAATCATAAAAATGTTTTTCAAACATGTTTAAAACATTAAAAACACTTGGTGTTCGCCCAAACCAAAAACCAAGCCATCCAACGTTCGGGTTTCAGAAACCGGCGTTCGGCATTCGATTTTCGGCGTTGGTTTTTAGCGTCCGAACTAATCAAGTGTTTTTCAACTTTTTATGATTTGTTTTTACTTCTGGGCACATTTAAATAGTTTTTCATCAAAAACACTTCAAAAACCACCTTTCGTTTTTTGTCGTTTGATAAAAACCATGCGAAACGGCATAAACTTGGCTAGCCATGGTTTTTACTTAAATGAAGTGGTTTTCAAGTCTTTTTGTGTAGGAATTGTTTTTGAATGCATTTAAATGGTTCTCCAATCAAAACATCATGAAACCACCTTTCAGTTTTGTCTTTTGGTAAAAACCACCCGTGTACGGCATTGACTTGGTCATCCGTGGTTTTTACCTTAACGACGTGGTTTTCAACATACAAAGCTTATTTTGACATAGAAATACATTAAATAAGTGTTTTAAACACTTAGTTTTTACTTTGGAGAACTTTTCATTTTTCGGTCGGGTTTTAGTGCCGGTCGGCTAAGCCATGGTTCTAGACTAGCCATCTACCCAGCGATGGTAGATTTCACCCATGCATGGGAAAGTGATCCCGAGATTCCAGAATCATTTCACCCAGCGATGGGAGATATTACCCATCGATGGGTAAGTAGCCTCCAGCCCAATTGAATTCCAGAACCATGCCAAACAGCGATGGGAAGCTCTACCCATCGCTGTTCAAGCCTTGGTCCAACATTATCACAAGGCAGAATTCCCTTACCCAGCGATGGGAAGGCATGACCGTTGGAAGTCATTTAAGGCTGATTCTTTCCTTGTTTAGAAGTCAACTTCCCACCGAGCGATGGGAAGCTTGTACCAATCGATGGGTAGGTGACCGTTGGCTTCAAAACTAAAGGGAAATTGGCTTACCAGCGATGGGTGAGTCCAAACATCGATGGGAAGCCAATATCCTGCAGATCCCAAATTTATTCAATCCCATAAATCAAGCCAATCACCCCTTTAATGTATTGGTCCGTTGGAGCCTACTTTGGCACTATAAAAAGGGGTGTTTGGGTCTGCTTTTCTCATGAATTCACTTCACTTTATACATATTATCATTGCATCCAAACAACATTATTTTCCATAGCTTTCTAGAGCCAATTTGTGAAGTTTGAGTTGTTTTTGAGCGTATATAGTTTACTCAACATCTACTCTTAAAGAGAGTCTTGTTCTTGAGTGTTCTTAGTGTTGTAAACACGTTTAGGGAAGCTTGTTTCCCTTGGTTGTACAAAGGAAAGGTATTTTCCTTTGGGTTGAAGTCTTGGAGTGCGGTATCTCCGAGCAAGTGTATTGAGGCTCGTGGGACTCGAGTTCTTAGGTTGTAACGATTTGTTAAGCACCCGTAAGCTTAACAGAAGTAGTGTAGCTCGAGAGAGTCTCTCGGGAGACTGGACTAGCCACACGTTGTGGTGAACCAGTATAAATCTTGGTGTGCTCCCTTTACTCCTTTTTATTCCGCTCTTTACTTTATCCCTGCGATTTTTATTCCGCGAAAATTTATAAACATTCTCGTGACTCACTATTCACCCCCCTCTAGTGAAGGGCACTTATTCTAACAGTTTTTACCCAAGCCACTGAATATTCATATTTATACCTGCAAGGCCTATTCTAATTTGAAATCTATCTTAGAGGTCTTCTAGATAGCCTTAACAATACACATCATTTCTCATCAATCTATTTATTTTGAATCATAATTCAATAATTCAAAATCATCATTTTTATCAGAATATTCATCAAGGTTTGATCATAATCAACATTCAATAACAATCATCATAATATTAATTAACAAATAGTGGCTTAGCGTCGAGTGTTAACACCCTAGCTTACCGTCATGCATCAATTAAGGCTCTTGAATTTGTCAAAACAACATATTTATTTCCATAATTCATTTTTATATTGTTCATAATTGATTGGTATCAAAAATAGGATTTAATAGTTCTAAAATTGGGTTTTCTAGAAAATTCTAGATTCTGGACGGTACTCGTTACGGTACCACGGTACCGTGTCACGGTACCTTAGTACCTTTTATAGCCATCCGCCGCCAAAGGAGCAGTAACTGACGGTAGGAGGTCTATCGTTGCCAAGGTATAGCCTACTGTGTCGGTGGTACCTAGGTACCGTCTGGGTGGAAGTGTGATGCTGTACTGCGCGTAGTTTTAAAGAGTGTCATCTTCAACCTCGGGCCAATTTTTGGAAATTTCATTCTAAGTCACCAAACTTCAATTAAACTATATAGAAATGTTCTCCAAGATTCATAGATCATTTTGGTATCATTAGTTCGTAGTTTTAACAACAATTTCAAGGTTTATGATTTTTGGATTTTCAAACATGCCAAACACAAAACTCAACCAAATGATTGTTTATGAACATTGAAACGATCTATACGAACGTTCTAATCACTATATATATCTAAGGGTTTACCTCGGGCTTAAATGGAGGTTTTGGAAAAATTCTGGTGAAACTTCCAGTGACGATTACTCCCAACTCTGGCGACCCTTCACCAAATTGACAGCACAAGTGCACTCCTCTCTCAAAAAAGAACAGAATAGAAGAAAGAATGGAGAGAATTGGTGAAGAAATGAAGGAGTTGGCTCTCCTTATATATCAAGAAGAGGAAGGAAGAAGCTAATGGAGTTGAGTCACTGCTGACTCACGATTGGCGAAGTAGGGAGGTCGGCTTATTTGGTGCGAATGCTACGACTCTTCCCTAATTGGGACTAATTTTTGGTCTTAGTCAGGTACACTTTTTTGTCTAACTTTCTCCGAATTAAAATCCATTTGCACCATTGCGATAAGATAGTCAAACTCTACCCAACGATATAATTTCTTTATATTTATTACAATACTTTTTCAAACATCATATTTTTGGGTGTTTGACTTTGATAGAGTCAAAATATATTTAATCGACGTTTATTAAAAAAGGTTCTCACATTTAATTCATATTTTTATTCTCATGATTTATTTCAATAAATCTTTTCAAAGTTCACATCATAAATCAAATGCTTTATTTATTCTTAATTTGGGTTTGTACACTGACTCCCAATCAAGATCACACAAATAGTCAACATATTGGATTTATCTCGATGATATTTATCCAGATTGTGATATTGGATATAAAAACATATTTCATTTTGGCCAAAATCCCAACAATAATTTATTTTGATCAAAACAAATTTGTTTGATTGAATAATAATTCAAAAATCATTTTAGGGTATGTTTTGGGGCGTTACATTTATTCCCCCCTTAAACGAATTTCATCTTCGAAATTCTTCTAAGGCTCAACGATCAACATCTTGTTATATTCACGTTAATCATGATTGTGTCATGTTTATTCAGTTAAATCATGATTATTTTGTTATCCCTACAGACACGTATTCTCAAACTGTCGATGTTATCAAACTCGTTCTTTCTTCAAAAGATTAACAGTCTTTGTTTAAGCAAAGTATCCAACGATCCTTTTGTAGGATTTTGTTAGAGTCAGCGTCAACAACCAAGGTTCCGTTGTAGTGTATAACATTGTATTTTGGAGCATACTTTGACATGTTTGTACATAACTTTGTTCATTCACAAATCTCAATTGTACGTCATTAGTCAACAATATTCTTTCTTTGATTGAAAGTTCTTCAATAGCCTTTGTAGTTTTTAATCTTCATGTTCATGATAGATATACTTGAGAATTTGAAATTTGTTTCAATTCATACATCATAGCGTAACATTCCAAGTCACTCAAGACATCTTCACGTCGTTCATATAGTTCAGCAATGACCCGTATGTAATATCAAATGGCTTTTATTGGTTTAGGATTTTCAGAATATGGGACTTGTCATCATTTATGAGGAAGTACTGTCGATTGGTTGTACAGTAGCTCGTCATAATCGATCTTACGTTGAAACATTTCTTTGTTCACCTTCGTGCTAGTTCTCATTATCGTCAATGGATCTTTGTATCAATTCATATTCGTAGGTGATGACGTTCGTTTGGTGTCTCGTATTCGACTTTCTTTCATCGATTTGGAAGTATATGAAAATGATAGGTTCGATTGTATTACTATAGTTGATCTCCTTTCGAGGGAAGAAGATAATATATTCAGAGATAATGAAATTGCATCAGTCGTTTTATGGTTCATATCGAGAGGTTCAACATAATGTTTATGTCAAGGTACTTTTACCAACATCTTTTGGTTTTAATGGAGAATCATGAGTTAAGACAATTTTTTTTCACGAATCAGTAATTTGATACAAGTAATGGACTTCAATCTTTTCAAGATTGACCAAGTGTGTAATCAACACGGAAAGTCTGAGTATTTAAAGAATATGAGTCACAAGATACGAATGTAGTGTTTGTGAATTATCGTCACTAATCGTAGATTTTCATCCTTCAATGTTTCACTCTTTCAAAGTTACTCAAGGGGTCGTTGTCTTAGGGCATTAGCCACTCTTGACTTTTTGTCTCGGATTTGAACGCGTTTAGGACAAAAAATCTAACTGTTCATGAGTCTCGATATGTCATATCGTAAGCAGACTGTAGTATTTGCTAACATGTCCCCGTTTGTAGGTAAATCGAAGCTATTTTTTAGCGAATCCACTTTTCTGTACGCATTTTGGCTGATGATAATTACCTTTCCCTCAATGGTCACCTTTCAGAGAGAGAGAGAGAGAGAGAGAGAGTGTGTGTGTGTGTATATTTTATATATATATATATATATATATATATATGACAGATGGCTGGCGTTTCTAGAGAGAGGAGAGATTCCTCGGTTCTGCCGATTTCCCCTTTTCCGGCCAACTCCAGGACCTGTTCATCGGCTCCACCTCTAGGAGATTACAAGGCAAAGAGCGTGATTCAGTACACAGGCTTCCAAACGTATGCGTCCGCTCTTATAGGTAAACATGACTCCTTCGATCTACTCAAATCTCACACCAGCAAACCCAGCAACGTTGAAGAAGGTTGTCCTCCACAACACGGTATTCAACCCTCAACCCTTTCTTCTTCCAAAGCTAGAAATATCATCCCAGTGGTATTTGATATTCTTGAGAAAAAATTTTCGTTTACTACTTCAATCTACAACAAAAAGATTTGTTTTTCTGAAAAATCCAAGAAGAAGACACATAATCTTTGGTTGGGGCTAGATGCGTGTTCTTGGTTGCTGCAAACTCTTAGACATTTCATCACAGATGGTTCAATCACCAAGCCTATTATAAGGGAACCCAACAGGTCACTACAAATTTGCTTCAAGGCTAATTTTGAAGGTCCCTATTTGCAACTGTCTGAACGGAGAAGTGATGGAACCTCCCATATCTTTATTCCAGAGGGCCATCAAGGTACAGGGATCATCCTTTTTGCTTCCAAATTTGAGATGGTTCTAAATTTTATTAAATCAGTTATCCCCCCTCCTTTGCCATTCCTAGACAATGCTACGGTCTGTGCCCCCCATGAGCATATCACAGATTGTTCTATGTACTTCTCATCCTTAATCTTCAGCCAGGAAGTCAGTCCCCAGAAGTTGGATTCCCCAACTCAAGCTTTTGACCCCCCTTCCAACCTTTCTTCCCTGCCCTTAGCCCCTACCTCAGTCCTGTCACCAAATGCTCTGGAATTTGTGCCTTCCAACCCAACCACTGCTAAACCTACAGCAATCAAGGAGTCCAACATCTCATTTAGGGGCTGCTCTATGTCTGACACAGAAAGGGATAACAACTGGAGCACCTCCAAAGCGTACGACTCAGATTTTGAACATTTGGGCTATGGAAACAAACAGGTACACTTAGAGGAAGAAAGTGAATGGGAAACTGATAATGGGGAAGAGAATGAAGGTGTGGAGGATTGGCATGCAAGGAAATCATCTCTGAATAAGAAGAACCTAGCAAAATTTGAGCATCTAAGCAAACATTTTCAAGGAGGAACCCACTCAAAACCAAGAAGGAGTAACCGTCTTGCCAGCCTAAGAAATCAACTCTTTGAAGAAAACAACCTGCTTTAATTCTTATGTTTATTCTACTCTCTTTTCTTAGATCATTTAGTGTATCTTCTCTTCTTCTTTTTTTATCTTTTGCTTTGGCTTTTTTCATGTTTACATTTGCTTAAGCCTTGATCATATTGAGTCTTGGGTTTTTCTGTACGCATTCTCTTCTTTGGGCTCAACCTTATCATGGTTTGCAAGCCAAGGAGAGGCTACCATTTGAAGCATTTGCAGAACATAATGGAGAAGTAGATTGGAAGGCCTTCTTAGAAACCCAACGGAGAATCTGCAGAGTACATTGAACTACATGTTGCTTCTGCAGAGCAGAATGAAGCCTCGGTAGATTGATCCAACACACTACAAGTTTGATTCCATGAAGTCAGTAAGAATTATTATAAAGCAATGGAAGTTATGAGCAGAGCAGGCTGATAACAAGCAGGTGAGACGAGCAGAACAGTCACAAGGAACCTTCAAGGATTGTGGAGCCCTTTATTTTGTTTTTCTCCTTCAGATTTAAATGCTTGTACACTCATCTTTAGAATACTTTGGTTGGGTCATAATGTAGGGGTTTAGGCCTCCCCACTC